TACCAAAAAAAAAAAAAAAAAAGCTATTTATGACTTTCCTCACCACTCTCATGGCTAGATAGATAGACCCTCATTCTCTCCAGCCCATTAATTAAACCTGCTCTGAGACGTGCGTATCCGCAGCAGACAGTTATTTGTGAAAACAAGTGGAGCATCTCAACAACTCAGGATGTCAGAGGCCTGGCTGCCAAAGACATTTAGAGTAATTGTTACACCCCAATCCCTATCTTAGTGCTGCGATTCCTGAAGAGAAACACATCTTGGTGTTTGACCAGCTTGATTCAGTGTGACTAGAGGTAAAACCCCAATGCAGAGGGAGATAAGGTGCTCGCGGGTGCTGTGCTGGAGAGCCTCACATGGATCTGATGGGAGGGTAGTGCATGGTGAGCAGGGTAAGAGCAGAACAGCCTGCCTGCACTCCATTACCTCCTTGCAAATGAGAACTCATCAAGACTGCCCGGATACCTTAAAACTTTCTTATGCAACGCTGAACCCTATTACTTATTCTAACACAAGTACCTGTGAAATTGCATTAAGGTTCAGAACAATGATTTTATGCGATGAATTGATTTTCAAGAGACTAAATGCAGGGAATGGTGTGCTCAGTTAAAGTAAAAAAAAAAGAGGAGGGGTGGAGAGGGAGAATAAGAATACTCAATCATCCAAATGTTGGACGGCAGCAATTAAACAGCACAGGAACACAAAATATACAAGCAGCATAAATTAATGGACCTGAGAACTTAAAAAGCTGTGAACATGACCTTTCCTTTATTTAATACCCTTTTCTTGCATAAAACATTTTAAAGACTTTCCAGAGGCATTTATGAGTGGGATTTGGGAGGTATTCTTCAAACTCCATAGCCTTAGACATAAAACCAAGCTCTATATATATATATATATATATATGTCTTCAGTACAAACAGGCCTGAACCTTCAGACTTTGGGCCAACACTTGTTGCAAGTAAAGACAGCGCTCACCTTGGTTTATGGGCTGTAATAGCGTTAACATGCTCAAAAACATTTCACCTCATTGGCCCAGAAAGTGGCTCGATGATTTACTCTACTCTCCAAACTTTAAGTGTTGCTTTCTGTTGAATCCCATCAGCGTAGAGCATTGTGGTCAGTATTTATTGTCGTTTGAGAAGTATATCCGTCTGAGGCAGTTATTGCTCAAAAGTGTCACCAATTTTCCTTGAAGCATCTTAACACCCAATTTCCTCTCTCCTCACTTTTCTTACAAGGTATGCAATGAGACTTAAGAATTTCACAGGTTCATCTGCCACAGAAGGAGACAAGAAGTTGGCAGTTTTATGGTGAGTCCCACTGCAACCATGTAGAAGCCACTAAAATCCTGAAGGGGGATTTTAAAAGTACTGAATTACTTAAGTAGCTTACACAAGATCATTATTCTTGTTTTCCATTAAACTATTAAAGGATAACTAATGGATTTCTTCAGCAGCTGACTAAACATTTATTCTTCTAATTTATACTGTTATCAAGATGGGATTTTAATGCTCTTGCCCAGTTTTTTATTTTTTTATTTTTCTCCATTTGCTTATATTTCACAATCTAACCTTAGAACAGAAACTGCAAAATATAGATCAGCATTTTTTTTTTTACAGTTTATAGGTTTCATTAAGCAATGGAATTAACATAATCCTTTCCTAATTACCACAGCTACCGATGCTTATCACTTCTCTACTTGAGAATGTTTAAACTAAAGAAGGACCACGCTATGAAGTACTCCAGATCTCTGATGGAATATTTTAAGGTAATCTCTGTTCTGTTTAACTTGTATTCACACAGAATGAGATTCACCCCAGCCTTAAGGACTCATTGCACCATTTATCCTCTTCAATGGGAGACGTGGTCAGGCTGACTATAAGGAGAGGACAAAAGCTATTTCTCTTTTTTATTTAAAAAAAAAAACGTTTTCTGACCAACCTACACTCCGCAGGTCTAGCTCCAATCCCAGTTTCACTCCTCCTGCATTTGAAGAAGCCCATGCAACCTTAATGGTGTTTCTCCTGATTCAGGGCCTGATTGAAAGCCCCTTGAAATGTTTGGACATTTTCGTCTTGACTTCAATGAGCTTTTCATCTTGTCTTGCGCAGGTGCAAGTCGCATCAAAAAAAGACCCAATGTTTATTGGCTCAGGATCTTCCATGAGATGCGTGCCACTTACTTTAGCCTCAACCCAGGCCACTGTCTCTGTAAAGGTGGCTATAACGGAAATCATATGACAGCTTACATTCAGCAGTAGGCAGTGATTTTTAAATTTATTTCTTAAAAACAAAAAAAGACTTGGGGCCTGATTCTCTTTTATGGGGAGGCCACTTTGCATGACGGTAGTTGTATTAAGGACATTTAAACTGGATGTATACATAGCAGTGTTGAGAATCGGGTCCAGATTTTGAGAAAAAAATTCATCATGCTTTTTTCAGGACTTAAGATCAAATCCCACAAAAGAAACATCTCGGGTTGTGAATGCTACTGTGTATGTAAGGAGGACTAATGTAAGTTGTATACCAGAAATAGGCCTGAAGTATATGCAGTTTAAATGTTCAGGATCTCTTTATCTGAAAGGTCTAGGTGAATTACATTTAAGAAAGGAAAATGTTAATGAAAATGTTAGTGTTGTACTGCTACATAGTACATAAGTGCTCTTAGTCTTTTGTATACATCAATGACGAGCCAGAATGCCAGGGCTTTCAACAGGTTAGTGGGGGGAATGTGAAGCCTTTTATGAAACGAAGGTGGATGTTAAGCAGATCTGTTGTCTATGCTGACGTTTTGCATGGTTTTCAAGGTGAAAGGCAACTTCCAAAGTCTAAAACAGAGTTGGATGTGAATTTTTTGACAGCATTTTTTCATCTGATAACGAAATTTTGGCAAAATGAAATGCAACATTTAAAACGTAAAGCAAAATATCTGGGGAGGATTTTGGAGACTTACAGTTTTTGTCCTAGGAAAAAATCTTGGAAAGTAGCACAAGATGGAAACACTGTCTTTCACCCAGCTCCCATCTGCAGCTCCCTCCTGACGGTCAGGATTGCTAATGTCAAAGCTGCTCTTTCATGGTTTGAAGATCTTCCAGATTGCTTAAAAGATCCCTTTGCACACACTGTCTAATGCAAACCATTCCCTCCAGCGTTCAGTTTTTAACTGGGAAGCAACTGAACCATGCAGAGAACATCCAGGCAAAACCAGTGTCACCTACTGGACGGTGCAATCTGCTTTGATCCATGTGTTTTGGAAGTTAGAGTTGCAGTGTAAGTCCAGAGAAAAAGTCAGCTTCTCTTTCCAGTTACACTGGCTCTCTGTGTGATCTTGGGCGGGCACTTAACTTCTCTGTGCCTCGCTGAAGCACTCTTTGAGTGTAAAGCCGGTGTTAAAATAGCCAAGTGGACATGCTAATAATAACACTTCACAAGGATGTTGTAACATTTAGTTGAATTATCATAATGCACTTCAAAGCCTTTGCAGCAAAAGTGTTATGCAGAGTGGTCACTCTTAGAAACTGGCCACTTGCCTTAGATAACCAAGACCCTCATTTTATCACTCGTAAGGGGAACTGGCAGTAATTGGTACTCTCCTATCTTGAACAAGGCTGGCAAAATCTGGGCCTTATCATTTGCTTGTTCTGTTTTTTGTTAGCGTAGTATCTTGTGCAAAGTGCTGTCCAAACACCAAAGGGGAGATGGATAAGAAAAGTGTGTGTGTGGGTGTGTGTTCACGTACACATGCATATGCACTGTATAAAAGCAGGATTTGGTTACATCCCTGCAGTAAGATTTTCTTTCCCTCTTTCTTTATAGAGAATTGTATTGCACTCGCCTATAATATATAGGATCCCATCAACACCAAGCTTCTTTTTCTATTGAAAAACTCACCAATCCCCCTGAAGGTGAAAGGCCTGCTGCACTTTGTAGAGCTTATTTTGCAGAATACATTTTAGATAAGGATAATTAAACCACTTCTTTATGAACTGCAACTGATTTTACTGGTGCTGTTGTATATCTGATATTTCATCAAGTGACTTTCATGCTCCTGATTGGATCCTACCAATTATCCAGCCAACTATTTTATTAAGAGACTATTATGTCAGGCTGATGTTCTGTATGCACTGTGGCTTCTAAAATAAGAAGTGCCAAGTGTTGCTGTAATCAGTATTAATGCACTTTAAATCTGACTTGCGTCTTCTGAACAAGGAACGAATCATCTCCTTTATTTGCTTCTTGGTTTTGTTTCTTACAGAACACTTCAAAAGCCTCGCAGGTCCCCTCCCCTTGGGGTGGCAACGGAAAGTGAGTATTTGCTGCTACCTACCTCTGCCAAGGGCATGAGTGATTAGTGGGGGGGGGAGTGTTTTGTTAACCATCAGCTCTTGGATTATCCATCCATCTTCCATAAGTTACAATCATGTTTCAGTCATGTAGAAAGTCTGAAAAGCTGGTATGAGCTGCTACCAAATTCTCTGACAACTTGATCTTTTAAGCTGAATGAGGGTGATAAAAATATCTGTTAATTAGATAGCAAGTACCATGTCATTTCAGGAAGTCAAAGTAAAGTTAACCTCCATTGCAATGATTTTTCAATGATTTGTTCAGTAACGAAAGACCAATGAATGTTTCATTGATATACAGTAAGTGCGGTTTAATAAAACTGAAGGCATAATAGTGGTGAAAATGGGAAGGCACTTAATCAACCAATTATCTGAGCCTTTATATTTATGCTAACCTCCCCGCCACCTCAAATATAAAATCACAGTAATCTAATTATGATCCGATGTTCAGTGAAGCCGCGTTACCATTGCACCCTTACTGTAGCACATGATGTATATCGCACTTGATGAGCATGCCTGCGCCTGGTCCACGATGCTCCCGGGAGCACTGCCGGAAATCACGGCCCACCCACCAATTCCCACATCCCCCAAACCAACCCTGAAAATGAGGCGACAGAGCTGCCCTGGAGGTGCTTTGCTGCACTTTCAAAATATCTATCTTTCAAAATATCTCTCTCTCTATATTCAGTGTGCCTGAACATGTGGATGGAGCATGCGTCTCCAGGGCACGAGGACATATGTCCTTCTTGCTGCCATCCCAGTGCTACCTGTGCAAGGACAGACAAAGCTTCTTCCTTCACCTTCCCCATTTTTACTTAACATCCAGCCAACTCCAAATCATGCCTATCAGACCATTCTGTTTCAGGTGATTCATGAGCAGAAAGGTCCAAAGACCCAAACCCACGATCACTTGAGTCAAGGGGAAAGAAATGTATTGCCTTCAGCAGGCTTTGAATCAGGCCCTAAGTAAACACCAACTAAAAATTAACAAGTTGTGCTTGTCCGTGTAGGAGGGACTCATTTTTACCTGGCATCTGGAGACAAGCATAACACCCCTATATGAGGTGCTACCACAGGGTCTTCGATGTGTACCTATATGCTGGCTCAGACCAATCCAAGTGGGAGCTTATTAAACACAGCTAGGGTTAGCAGATGAAAGGGAACGTTTCCAGCATTTCAGAGACTTCAGAAAGGAAAGCTGTCCTTTGTGTGTGAGTTTCTCGGAGCTGGGACCGTCCTGAAATACTTAAAAAGCCCCCAAGTATTGGACGCTGCCAAAATCAATATGCCCAGGCCGAACAGCAAATCAGGCTGACAGGGTTAAGGCCACCGGTTTAGATGCACGCAAGGGAGTGATGTGGCCAGCACTGCTTCCAGCTTCCCAGCCATAACAACCAAGTTCCCACGTGCAGCTGAGCCGACTGGGGGAGGTTATCAGTGCGAGTCCAGAACAGGACTTGAACCATGTGCCTGTTGAGTCACAGCAAGATGCCTTGACATGATGCCCAACTCTCGGGTAGCTGTCACTTCCCATTTGACACTGAAGCTAGCTCCGGAGATACGTAGGCAAAAGTGCATCTGCTGCATAAGAGCCTGTTTCTTCCTTTTATTCCAAGACAGAAGCTCACTGCACGTAATAGGGATTAAGAAGAGGCAGGCAGGTATCACTGTATGTTCACATGCTTCTGTGCTGCTCCCTGGGGGCTCTGATCTTAGGCAGGAGCTAGGCAAGTCTTTCTCTTACACTCAGTTCAAATGAATCGGGAGCCCGCCAGAGCTGTTATGATCAGCCTTAAAACTCCTTTGTCACCCAAATTGTCGAATCCAAAGCCATGAAAACCTCCACCTGGCTTACTGGAAATTCAGGCCACGTTGGCTGACAGCATTGTCAACCTCTGCAAAGTTGGCCTGAATTCCAAGCTGGCAATGAAACAACTTTTGCCTGGTTTCGTTACAGAAATTTTTTCCCACCTCTAGCTGCAATAAGCGCAAGATAGAGAGATTTAATAGACTCACCACCGTAATAATGGCACTGCGCCTTTCCCTGCACAACAGGGTAAATCCAATGAACAGCACACTTTATTTGGCACAAGTGCATCAGCTTGTAAGTGGCTCTAGCAAAACACTCTCGGTCCCCTCGGATACTACATGATTGTTAACTGCTCCCAGACCTAATCAAGTAGAGCTCAGATCTTCTGCACGTTACAAAAACACTGCGGTGGTGTCAAATCACCAGTATGTTTGGAGACTCAGAACTAAAACATTCCTGCTGCAGGATATACTTTGATAAAACATATCAGCTGGGTCAACAGCTACTAACAGCCAAAGTGATAGGAAGCATTGTTTCCGTGGGGCAGATCTAGGGGACCCCATTGCTGATAGTGCAGCTGGAGAAAGATGCTGGGCTATTTTCATTCCGTTTAGAAAATGCAGTATAATGAAAGCTGCTCTTCAACTCTTCGCCCCACGCTTGTGGCCCTCTGGCTCCAGACCTGCATAGCAGCTAGCCAGTACAGGAGATGTAATGTGTTTGCCTTGCGTCCCTGTGCCCACACACAAGTGGTGGGTGAAGGCTGTGTCTCTCTCTTTCCCTGCTTTGCCTTTACAGGACTGATCCAGCATCTGTTAAAGCCAGTATGAGTCTTTCCATTGAGTTCCCCAAGTGTTGGATCTGGCCTCTAATGAGGCCGAGCACGAGCAGAGCGATCTCTATAGCACTCCTCCGAGCTGGAGCAACAATAGCTGCCTGCCTGGGGGGAACAGGATGTGAACCCCTCTCCCAGCACAGGGTCTGGCACCTTTCCTCCATTCTGGGTGCCAGAAGCAGTTTAGCGCTGGCTTTGAAGTGCACTGTGTGGCCATGCCATGCATTTGCTTAGGGAAGTGGTTCCAAATGGGGGCGAGAGGGGAGAGTTTTGGACCCCTTCATCTTGTTCACAGGAACCAGTTTTCAAAGAGAATAGCTGCGAGGGAGCATTCAGCGCCACGTGGCTCTCAACATGTGCGATTGCAGTGGGTGACCTCCTTGCTGCCTGTAGCTGCAGGTGATTCCTAATTGTCGGTGTTAGAATTAAAAGAAAATCTATATTAGAACATTAGTGCTGCACTAAGTAGCTAACTTAAAACACTGCTCTTTATAAAGCACTGTGCAGATGAACTGTTGGCAATTAGAAACAAATCTCCATAGCAAGTCTTAAAGAATCCTATAGAGATATTCATAATCCTACAGTACCCCGAGCTCCTAATACTGCTCTGCAGGGTGCTCTTAAGAATTGCACTTTGCTTATTGTGGTGACTGTATTTGTAGCAAACTGTCATTGTGGTTTCCACAAAATGCTTTGATAATAAGCCAATATTGCACATTGAGTGTTTTCTAACTACCATAGCAGCTTCTGGCAGCAGGTAGAAAAATCATTACAGCTATGAGATACTTCTTTCTCTGAAAGATTGCTATATTTTTATGATAGATTTTTTTTTTTTTTAAATAACAGGTTCATTTGTACGGAGAATTAAATCCCTTTTTATTTTCAATCAGCCGCAGTTTATAACCTCTCCTCTCTTGTAAAACAGGAGCTCATAACTGCACATCTTCTCTGGACTAGGTGCAGATTTGATTTTAAGTGTGTTCAGGAGAGAGATGAAATTATATGGGAGCAGGAGTAATTTGCCTTTCGTTCTTACAGGAGCACAGAAACTCCATCTCCCATGTCTCTCAGCCCATCCCCAGCCAGTTCTGGTGGGAGCAGCACAGGCCCCGCTGGGTCGTCCTCAGCAGGAACCATCACCATCCCCCAGCGCATCCACCATATGGCTGCCAGCCACGTCAACATCACCAACAATGTATTGCGGAGTTACGAGCACTGGGACATGGCCGACAAGCTGACTAAAGAGAACAAAGGTGCCTTGTTCACTTCCTGCTTTTCCGGAGTTTGATAAATGATTTGTGTGTGTGTGTGTTTAGTTTTCATGGGGGAACTGAACCCAGGACCACCTGAGCTAAGAGTATAACCTCTCCAGCATGAACCATTAGACTCCAAATCCACCTGCTAGCAAGTGTAGAAAACTCATCTCTTCTTTTTTAGCAAGCACAGAGGGAGGGCATGTAGCACACACTGAACAGTGGGTTAGGAGAGCAGCTGGCAACTAATTTAACAAAGATGAGCCCCAAGTGATGACTGCCTTTGCGTCTGCACATTTATTCCCCATTTCAGCCTCTCGTGGAGTACAGAAGTTATTTTCCAACTCCAGTTGTCATCCCGCTTAAGGCTATTAAAATGCTTGCTAAGGTACTAGGTGAATGTTGTTAGACGTTACGATTATGCAGTGAGACCGATTATAACATAGGCGTGGAAAAATGGTGACTTTAGTTTGCCCGCAGTCGGCCTATGATTCAATTTATTTATTCATAACAACATAGCATAAGTTTTTACCATGGCTGACTCAGAGAAATGTTGGCAAGCAGTTCTTGGCTGGTCTATATTGACTGTAACGGAGGTGAACGGATGTGATTAAAGGTCAGATTTGGCTCACTGCTTGCAAGCCATTGACCGTCTCTATGATGATGCTATCTGTCAACTTCAGCCTTGCTTCTACCAAATTATTGGCAAAGCTCCCTTTGTTTTCAGTTGAACAGTGTTGGGTTCAGGAACTGTTCTTTGTCTTGGATCATAATGAGATCCCATAGAGCTGAGTGTGCAAATTGATCCTATTCCCATTCAAGTCAATAGCAAATTTCCTCTGGTTTTTGTGAGACTGAAATCAAGTCTTTGGAGTGTTTGATATTTGAATGCTAGCTAGCGAGGGCTTGTTCCTGAATCAGGGACAGCAATTGTAAATGGCACATCAAACGCCTCCCAACTATCTCTAGTCTTATTACACATCGGATAAATTAACCATAGTGTTATAGGTTTTCTTTTTTCCCCATAATCACATCCATTGTCACACTGCATTAAAGTATTCCTTTTCAACTGTACTGCAGAATTTTGCAGTGCTAATGCAGAAGGATGCTCTGATAGGAGAATGAGATGGCGATAATCTTGTAATTAGCTCTGTGTGTTGTGGAGTTGTTAAATGTTCTGTTTGATATTGAATCAAAATAGCTCAGGCATCCAGCCAAAAGACAGAATATGTACCCAGCAAGTGCTGTTATCAGTCCCGGAGCCAGTTAGGGAAAAAAGCTGCTGAGTCTCATTCTGCATTTCTTTGCCCCGTACTCTTTGTTCTTGCTTTAGTCTACATTCAGATGAGCCCAGATCTACAAAGCATGATACGTGTAGTCCACGTTTATATGAGGAGACACATGGACATTAGTGGGGCTTGTTGCATGCATGTAGGCGATTCATGCGAGCAACAGATTTAATTCAATCCCCATTCTTGCATTTTACCCCTTTTTCACAGTTTGCAGCCTTGTGCAGTGGCTTGTAGTGCTGTTTTTACTTAAGTGTTGGAAACCATGTGAGAGAGAACTCAGGTGTTCCTGCACTCTGTAATAGTGTGGCCGTCTTTTGATTCTGGTCCAAGGCACATATTTTCTAATTCAATATTAGCTTTAAAGCAAGCGCTTGAGCACTGTTAAATGGTATCTTGAAAAAAATGTATTGGGTAGCAGAAAAAGATAATGCACCACATTACACCGGAAGCAATGTCCATGTGGTGGGACTAATTACCCTGTCACTCACTGGAGCCAATTAGCGTGCCTAAACAGATACGGCTGCACTGCTTCTAGATCAAGAGGCAACTCTTGATCTAGATCTGCTTCTGGATCTGCGCTTGAGGGCACTGCTCCAGAGCCCCAGCTGGATGCCTCCCTGACTGAATTCTCAGCATCAGGAGGGGGTTAGGCCATGTTGGGCCCTTCCAGTTTAAAAACAGAAAAAGGGGGACACCCATAGCAAACTCCAGGGACACTTTCTGTCAAGCTGAATTACTTCGTCCCTGCCCCAGCTCTCATCCTGTTTCTGGTGGGTCCTTCACAGGGCAGGTTGCCAGCTGCGCTGTCAAACTCTCAGCTGACAGTTCTGGAATCAGATGTTTTTAATCTTAAGTATATGCCCTTTTAAATCCTTTGCAGTATTTTTCCCCAGATGGTGGAAGCTCATCATATCTATTTAGGGCTGCTTGGTACAGTAAATTTCAGCCTGATGTTCTCTCAGATACAGGTTTAATTAGTTGTTTCGGTGTTTGTGGCATCCTAGATAAATGTTTTCGGACTGGGAAACTGCAATTAGGCTTTAAGTAAAGTTTCTGACGTTTGAAGCAATTATTATTATTTATTGGAACATAGAATTAAATCACTGGAGCACCAGCAAGGCTGGGTTATTTCGCTCCTAATTCTATTGATTTCACATAGGAGAGGAAAAAAACATAGGAAGGAAGATTAAAGAACCTGCTAGTTGCTGTTTCTTGACATGACTGGTGCGATCCCTCAGCTTTTCTCATGTTTGCCTTAAGCCATATCACTTTATGCTGTAATGCAGTCGTATCTCACCAGCTGACCAGGGTCAGTCCGGGTCAGTGCTTGGATGGAAGACCTCAAAGCAGCATTGAGATGCTGCAGGAAGCACTGGAGGTGATTCTGTAGCCAGCAGAACCATTGCCCGAGCACAGTGTTAAGTGGCCCGAAGCTGAGACGGTAGCTGTGTTAGATGAGATGAGAACGCAAGGTCTTGACCACATCTTGTTGTGATTATTACACACTCATTGTATGACTAGAGGCTCCCTACTGAGATCACAATCTCATTCTCTTAGGCAAGCGTCCCATACTGAGAGAAGCTTGAAGAGCTCATGGTCTTCACCGACAAGACAGACAATAGATGCCAGATCAGACTGGGGGGAAATCCAGACCCACTGAAGTCCATGCAAGGATTCCCTTTGACTTTGATAGGGTCAGGATTTCATCCAGGGATTTGCAAGGCCACAGAAAAAAGCTGCCTGTTGCCCCTTTCTTGGGATAAGGGTATCTTGGCCTCCTACATGCAATTACAGATTGCCAGTAAGCCCACTTTGACATTTTTGGATGAGTGGAGAGCAGAGCAGTGACATGTCACCTTTGTGGGACATTTCTTACTTCTTTCTCAGCATGGTATTGCTCTGTCTAGTCCTCCTGTCTCCTTCTTGGAAAAGTGCCTCTTGCCTTCTACTCCTCCACTTCCCATCTCCTGAGTGCCTTCATCCTGCCACACTCCCCTGCCTTTCATTGTCCGTGGGCCCACAATTACCAAAGCCATTTAGGTATAGTGCACTGGTTCTTGACAGCTTTTGGCCATGGATCCTGGTTCTGGCATTGCAACCCAACCTCCAGCTGACTCACAACTCCTCATGATCCCACGTCCTTCCAAGCCCTTTTGCAGTAACTGAATTTCTCTGGGAGGGGCGAGCTGCCTTGGTTGGGAGCTGTGATCTAAGAAGTGTCTGTGGCTTGACCTTCTCCTTTCTTAGTTCTTTCCTCTACTGCTGCTGAAGCAGGAATTGTTTGGAGCTGAACCAGTGAAGGGTGCTGTGACCCCCCCAGAAAAGAAACTTCTGAACCTCAACTGTGGCGCCTAGTGACCAGGAGAAAATACTGCATGGCAATCACTGCTCATTCCTAGCTGTTTAAGTTGTACACATATCAAACTAGGACTCTGATAATCTTTGATTTTTCTGCCTTGTGAACTGAGTCAAAACAAGAGCATTGGCAAACACCTGTAGCAATACCCTGATGAACTTCTAGCCTAAGTCAGTACATGCGGTCTGTCGAAAGTGTCAATCCACGGTTTCAGCGACACTGGCTGTTCTTCCCCTCCTCCCTTATAAACAACATAATGTTACTGGTTAGTAAGTGCTACGGTCTGACTCTAGAGGTGACTGCATTTCAGCAAGGAGCACAGTGTATTTGAGATGCCCCAGCAGAAAATCAAGGTACAACTGCATTATATAATATTTAAAACAAAATTGGTAGCTTGTAATATAATGTTTTCATCTGCATTTATTACACAGTTTATATTACTGGGTGATATATAATAGCCTGTTTACAACATGTTTCAGTTTCCTTTGCTTAAATATTGTAATGTGATAACATCCAAAGGGAACACATTGTTAGTGTGCCAAAATACAATATTTTTATTTGACTATCTATAGCCATGTGTAGATGAAACGGGGGGTTACTTCACTTTAAATTGAAGTGGTGGCTTTTTAAAAACACCACTTCAGTTAGGGTGAAGTAAACCCCCGTGACGTGTACACCCGTGTCTTACCTGCCTCTCCAGTGGCAGGGAGGGGAGGATGAGCTCCCAGCAGGTGGAGCAGTCCCTGGGCAGTGGGGAGGGACTGGTGCTTCCCTCCACGGCAGCAGAGCCCCCTCGCACGCATCCGGCTCAGGCAGTCCCAGGGGGCATCGCAGCCACAGAGGGAAGGACTGGGTCCCCACCCAACTCATGCAGGCAGACAGTCTCTGGGCAGGGGCAGAAATCAGGCTTGCCGCTTTTTTTTAACCTTCAGTGGAGTCTGCCTTCCCAGGCTGCTGCCAGGCTGCCTGCCTGGGCAGCCTGCACAGGCCCTGCGCTGGACAGAGCCCGGTGCTTCACTCCGTGGCTGTAGGGCAGCAAACTAAACCTCCTTGGAGGTGTTTTAGTTTGCTGCATCCCTAAGGCGCATTACACTGTCAAATGTGCTACAGCGGCTGGAATTAATGCGCAATATGCTGCCAACACATGCCAACACCAGCACCATTAAAGCAGTGCAAAAGCATTTAACCCACTTTACATGCACACATGCCCCTCATTTCGTCTAAACACAAACTATGGCGTTCTAAGGCCAAGTGTTTTTTTGTTTGTTTTTTTTGTATTATTCCACTTAGTCCAGTGTCTGTCCATATGGACTGTGGAAGAGTTTGCATGATGGGTTACTAGATGTATATCATTTAACAGTAAGAATAATTCACCATTGGAATAATTTACCTAGCAACATGGTAGAATCTCAAGTATTTGCGGTCTCCAAGACAAGACTGGTTATCTTTCTAAAATATATATTAATGCTTAAACAGAAGCAGTGGGCTTGACACTGGCATTACTGGGGGAGCTTTTTGAGGGCTTATACTATGCAGGAGGTCAGACTAGGTGACCATAACAGTCTTTTCTGGCTTTTAAGTCTGTAGAGGGTGGTAATTTAACAGTTGCTCTTGAAATTGCACACTCAGAGTTATGCACTTTAAAAAGCTCACAAATAGCTTGGTAACCAGCATGTGGTTAACGTATTTTTGCACAGTTACCCAAAACAATGACTCCCCTTTCCTGTGTTGCAGAATTCTTTGTAGACCTGGACTCAGTGATGGGACCGTTAACGCAGCACAGCAGTATGACCAACCTGGTGCGTTATGTTCGACAAGGACTTCACTGGCTCCGCACCGAGGCGCACTTGTTGTAGTGACTGCCGCGTGACTCATAACATCCCCATCGTTCTACCTCTACCAGCGCACAGACGATCACTGGTGGAACTCCACTCATTTATGGAACTTTATTCATGTAACTTCATTTTTATTGCCTTTTTTGATATCCTATCTATTGGAAGTAGAAGTCATCATAAATGGAACTTATGACTGAAGAGCAGTATGTGTTGTACCATCTAATCATTTTCGACAGTTTTCTATGCCTTGCGTCTCCTGGATCCTGCCATCCTTATGTGCTTTATGGAATGGTACATCCTCTGCAGTATTGTTTTAAGTCCACACTGCCTTCAAGTGAAAACAAAAAAGCACTTTGAGAAGATATGGATTCCTGAGAAATAGTACAAAACGTCTTAAACATTTTAGGGTATATACAAAAACCCCTTCTGATACAAATTGGTAGAAGTTATAGCTATTCACTCAAAATTGTCCTCCAAACTTGAACCAAGCTGTACACTGGTTAGTTCTGGCATCATTATCTGACACAGTTCACTGCTAAAATGTCATACTATCTGTAGGCCTGGTCTCTAAAAAATAACTTTAAACTTCTTACAGGTAAGAAAGTAGTGTAAGATCACCAAAGGTGTTAGGAGGTAACAGATTGGAACAATGCCTCGCTAAAGAAAGACGCCACTCTATGCAAGGAGGTTTTGATATTTCATTCTAACTTTATTGTTGGCTTAAGTAGGCAGCAGAATGCAGTTTTTAAGCAATTTCAAGCATTAGATTTCATAGTCTCTGTCACCATCCATGTACTAAATCTGTGACTTTTCTTTCCATTGTACTGTTTGATCTCAAACAAATGTTCATCCCATACTTTCCTTGGCAAAACAATCTCCTCTTGCATAGTGACCCAGCAAAAGCACATTTTAACAGGAGCGCTACACTCTAAATGTTGATCTTGTATGTAAAACGCATTAATAAGTGTATTGTAGACTCTAGATGAGATTCACTAGAAATTTAACTAACTGGCTATTGTTGAGACATTTCTAATGCTGTGTGGCATTAATTTACACCAGCTTGGTTGATTTCAGAGCATTAGAAGCAGGCAGTGGGTATGTCTACACGTGCGCATTTACTGTGCAGCAACTGAAATTACTGCACAGTATGAGCACGCATCTATATGTGCATGCCCATACTGCACAGTATATATGGTGACTTATACCAACTTGAGGATAAATTTGATACCTGCATCATGCAGGTATCAAATTTACATCCGATTAGTTACTGCACACTAATGCACGTATAGATGCCTTATTGCGCAGTAACACTATGTGTGTGGACTAATTTGGGACTAACTTTAATTCCCAGTCAGACCATACACAGCGTTAATGCACTTTAACGCCTGCATGTGTAGATGCCAGCCTGTTCCCACTTACTGCACGGTAAATTTAAGCCAGTGTAAATGCACGTATAGACACGCCCAGTGTTACCTTACTTTCTTGAAAACAATAAAAAATTAAGGAAAATCATGAGATTTACCCCAAAGCAGCATAGCATATGCTTAATAACAGTACTTCAGTCTACCAGTTCTCCAAATTACCTCTTTTTTAAGCTCTTTTACTGTTTACCCATGCTGTTATATTTTGGACAATTCCTTTAGTGCACACATAATCATGAGACAATTCCAATAGCATTTTAAAGCAATTGTGAATAAATTAGACCATTTCACTCGCTCTCTTTTTTTTTCTTTATAAACTGCACTGTTCTTGTGGCGATACTGCAAGAAGCAATAGTGCATGAAATAAAACAAAATGAATTTATATCAATAATTCACACGACTTTAAATGGTCTTCTATCATTTTTGATGTAATGCCTGCATACCTTACCAAGCTGTAAATTTCATTCATATAAACAAAAAGAAATGGCAATGTAAATATCATCCTATGTCACATCTCACTGAAATAACCCAATATGCATATTAAATACCATCCAGACATTAGCTAATTGTAATTACCTTCTGATATATAATCCTTTATATCCTTTAATCTAGTGAGTTATTGGATTCCACTCACTGGGTTGTGACCAGATAAATAGAACAAATTTACATTTAAAAGGTTCAGCCTATTACAGATTTTAAAGCAGGTCTTGCATATTTGCAATACGAACAGTTTTAATGATCAGGCCTAGACCCATTGTATATTATTAGCTCCTATTAATAAGTACCTTTTAACTCAGTTTCTTTCCCACAACTAGGTCTTGTCAGTGAAGCCAAAATGAGAAATACATCATTAGATAAATCATTCTTCTAGGGCAGTCTGTGAAGACATTTCCAGAACATGCACTTTCTGGATGACCCGACTATCCCTGTTCTTACAGTAGTCAATGTACCCTTATCTGTTTTTTGAGGGTTTCAGTAACATGACTGAAACATGAATCCAATAGCATTTATCACACTGATTCTGGCCCCTTTTGCTAATGAAAAAAAAAGCCATGATAGCAAGAGCTATTCATCTGTTTCAGAGAAGGGGGATTTCAGAAAAACACTGCACTTTTACAATAGATTAGTCTGGTTGTTTCTGAGAACTCAACTGAAGTATTGACGGTCTGGTGGTGACCTAAGTTTTCCATTCTCTTTCGAGGCCTGGCCAGTTGGATCGACTGATTGTTCTGTCTAATTAGGTGCATTATCCTCCCTTGTTAGTTTAATGTAGACTGAAACCCTAGACCACCATGAACTTATGAAGGATGGATACATCTTGAAATACAATCTTCAGAGACAAGACTGGTCAAAGAGTTAGCTACAGTCAGTATATTATATTTCCCAACTGCTAGTAGTAAATAGACTCCTATCTCAAAATGAACCCTATATATTTGCAAATCTTTTGCCTAGACAGCTTAAAGACTTAGCCCACCTGATTGTGCATCCCATGACTTAGATTGAAATGTATGCTGAATCAATGGCATGATTATAATAAGTCCAGCAGTCAAGCCTAGGATCACAAGCCAACTTCTATTTAGCAGTCTTGTTTCAAAAGCGGCTTAAAAGTAAATTAAATATGGAGAGTGAATTACCTTCTTATCCCCGGGGATGATGCTTCTTTTGGGTTAGTTATTAAGGATTATTGCACTTTTTACAGGCACTATATTCATCACATTTCAAATGCCAACGTGTCATCTTCATGGAATAATTCTCCTCTTTAAACTATTATTTAAAGCAGAGTTAATTGAATGAGATTCTGAGGGGGAAAACATTTTGATCCCTGAGCAATCAGAATTGGACATTTTTTTATCTAGCTCTTTCAGAATTGCTACCTGCAGACATTCAAAAATCATGAATCAGGCCCTAAAAAAAAAAAAAAAATCATGAGCTGGCCTTCAAAAAACCCCCATAGCTCTAGTTAATATTACTTTTGAGGATTCTTTTATTTGCCATTTGTTTTCTTATCCCAGAGGCTGCACTCAAGTCATGTCTTCGAGCTTTCCTTCATAATCATGGAAGTTACTTTTTTTAATGTCTCATACAAATCTTCCGATTCCCATGACTGGGCTTTCAGACAGACACCAAATATCACGAGGCTCAGGATCAAACTACCAGGTCCGACAGCACTGCCCCCTCGGTCTGATGCTAAGTTATGTTCCACAAATTTAGGGCAATATCCAAGTTTTGTGGTTAAGGCTAATGGACTAAAGGTGAACATTTTGGAGACCCATTAGTACAAGATAATAGTGTAGCATGTACTTGAGGAAGACCATTATGAACCACTTAATGTCAAGGGCTTCAGCTGGTCCTAAATAAAACTTATGAACTGATTCAGGAGGAATGCTCCCTCGGAGAGCAGAATATCTCTCTAGCCACTGAAGGTCACTGCACTAGATGTTCTTGGGAGGAAAGCGTGGGAGACCTGTGGTATGCCTCGTATGGTCCATGTTCCCTCAATCACAAGTCTCTGAGGCAGAGCCTGTACTCCTGACTCAGACAGTCTCACTTGGGGCTTTTTCAGGGGTTTTCACTTTTGTTTCTGGTTTAGCTTGTTGCTTAGTGTTGCTAGTGTTTGGGGACATTTGTCCTGACGTGTTTCTCTGTGTTTAATTTGGCTCACAGCTTGTTCCGCGGCCTTGGGACCTTTAATCACTTAATAATCTCCATGTGGAAATATTGATTGTTTTATTTATAGATGTCCTCATTCAAAAGATAGGACAGGTCTGCTGCCTTGGTGCATTTCTTTAAAAAGACATAAGGTCAAGAACTTGGGTGCCTTCTTACGAAACAAAGTAATCAGTGTCCTATTTTAGGATATGAGAAGCTAAAGGTGGACCATTAGCGAAAATCAATTTCTATGGCACTTTTCAATTCACAGATTTTATGACAGTCCTCTATTTAAACTTTCTGACTTGCTTTCAGGTACTTTGAAAGGAATATTTTTGTAATTTTTTGTGCATACCTAGTAACTTTTTTTCCTTCATTTCAGAGAATGTAACTACAATTGCTGAAAGGCTCTGTTATAAGAATAGGCTCTTCAGTGGATTAGGGCTCGAGTCCCAATCTACATATTTACTTTGAGATGGAAGACAAGCTCATCCATAAACAGTACTGTAGTGGGTGTGTGCCGGTGGGTGTTGAGACAGTCAGTTTGCTGCCGGGCAGAAAGTTGGTACGTGGTACTTCCTGGCATAGAGAAGAAAGAGGGAGTGATGCTGTTTTTATCAGGACATGAATGTGTTTGTTCTTCTGCAGTAGATGTGTGAGTTTGTGTGTGTCCAGAGAGAGAGAGAGATTCCCATTCATATTATCTGCAGCATCCTCTTGTCACAAGCACCAGTGCAAACAAACTGAACTGCCACAAAAAGTAATTCCATCTCTAACGGTTCGTGCCTAACCCACTGAATGGCAAAACTGTTACAAGACGGTGGCAGGCTCCATACAAGTACTCCATCAACCCCCCTAGGAAGTATTTGCCATTCATTGCTCCACCCGTGACAGCTCAGTGTCTGTCCAATGGACACTTTTAAAGATAACAAAAAATAAAATAAAATTGCACGATAATAAAGTTATTTTGAACATATTACATTTGTAAAAAGTCCTCCCGCTTGCAAACTATGGAGCAGCTGTAGACACAAAACTATTTGAATCCAAGGGCTAAAATGGTCCTCACAGATTCCAACATATTGGACCCAAGATCTGTGCAATAGTAGATCCTGCATCCATCCCCACCCCTCACACTTTGTTCTGGAGGGAGTAGCAGTCGTGAATCCAGCTCAAAGCCACCCTCACTGCCCTTTACTAATGGAACTATTCACCTCTTTGGCTTGCAGCTTGGGGGCTACTGTAGGTATGGCGATGGGAGCTAGTTTGGCCCTGAAAGCCTAATCCTATAGGTGTTATGTATGTAGAACAGGGGTGGGCAAAATGGCAGCTCCAGCCAGTGGCCAGAGTCCATTTCCCAGCAGCCCCTGCCAACGTGGCTGGAACCAGTTTCCATGGAGACCCCAGCAGCAGCTGCACTGATGGCACAAGGCCAGGGTTTCCATGGAGAATGGCCCCAGCAGCACTGGCAGGGCACTGGCAGGGTGCAGAGCTGCTCCAGAGTCAGGCTGGGATCTTGCAGTGGTGACGAGGTCCAGAGCCAGGGCAGAGCCACGATCTGTAGCCTGCATGCTCCAGGCAGGGCCATGGAGGCAGCGGTCATGGCTCTGCCCCGGCTCCTTGCAGCAGTGACAGGATACTCCAGAGCCAGGGCAGAGCCATGATCCACTGCCTGCATGCCCCTGCCTGGAGCATGCAGGCTGCAGATCACCGCTCTGCCCTGGCTCTGGATCATGCTGTCACTGCCACACAATCCCTGCCCAGCTCCAAAGGCAGCTCCACACCCTGCCGCGTGCCCTGCCAGCAGAGACGGGGCTGGGGGTGGAGCTTGGGGGAGCTGTAGCCCCCATAGTCACCCCTCCCAAAGTTGCCATTGCCCACCCCATACAGACAGCAGCTGAGCTCACCCCACTCCCACAGCACAGCCCTCCCTTTGGCCCCCCCACCAGGAAGAGGCTGGTGCTACTGCTGCCTGCCAGCACTGCTGGGGCCGGTCTCCATAGAAACCCCGGCCCCATGCTATCTCAGCAAGGCTGCTGCTGGGGTCCCCATGGAAACCAGCCCCAGCCACACAGGCAGGGGTTGCCAGGAAATGGGAGTCCACTGCCAGCTGGATCCGGCTCACTGGCCAGACTTTGCCTTCCCCTGATGTAGGAGCTCCATGCAGTCCATTGAATTTCAGTGACCACGTTGCAGTGCTTTACAGGACAAATCCTGTTTGCTTACCTCTTGCTGAGTCCCACTCATGTCAGTGGTATTGATCCTGTGAGCCGGATGGATGGGACATGTGTGTGAAATAGTCAGGGACTTTGATTCTACTGCCCTGTAAGCAGAGTGCCACTAGATGTTGCTTCTCTTGGACCTGGGCCCACTCAGTCGCATCAGTTTGATTGGATTGGATTCTGTTGTATAGAGTTACTCCTGATTTACCCAGCATAAGTTAGAGAGATGAGTTTAACTGGGCAAATATTTAGGGAACAGTTCCTTTTACATGTTCAGAATCAAGCGCTGCTCTAACCCTAGGGCAACTCTACATTAACTCCAGTTTTCAGTGGAATTAATTGGGGGAGAGTCTGTGCCCTTTTCACACCGACGTAGACCTGGTCTTCAGCTGAGCCCAGGTCTTGGCTCATGAAGCCTGATCCCCAACTGAGTGAAGCCAATTATTTCAGTGGAATTGCACCCGTTTGCATTTGGGCTGAGGCTGGGCGCCACAGAGTTCAGTGAATTTTCTCTTGATTCACACTGCTGTCTGAGACTACCTGAGGAAAGGCTGAATAAATGGATGGTCTGTTCACAGATCAAGTTAAGTAACTTTTGACTTCAGTGGGACATGGCTGGGAGTAAGAGTTTCAAGGACCTGATGCATTTATCCCAAAATTTTTCTATTGAGTTAGATAGCTGGCACCAGCAGACATCCTGTGTATATGACAGGGGTAAAGAAGAAGGTCCTTGGTATAGGTCTGCTGACATCAGTAGAGTTGACCCAATATGCACAGACTGAGGATCTAACCCATATACCCAAACTTTTTTTGTCCCAAATATATCTCTATGCAGATGAACTCCCAAAGCTTTATCATAATGCCTCTTCTTTTCTGCCCAGGCAACTCAAACAATTCACATACAGTAATCGGTATGGTAAAGGAATACTGTACTATGCAAAGTCATGGAATCTAGAGTACTTTGTAAAACTGCTTTAGACCGTGGGGTCTGGAAAAGTATCATCAGAAACAAGTAGCTCTTGCTGTCCTGCACTTACCTGATGTAGAGTAAATGTTCACTCTGCACTTCCAAACTGAGATTTTTACACACAGTGCGATTGAAAATTGTAGGGTTCTAAAAACTAGGGACCAAATCCTCTAGTGGCATTCATCAGTTCTTTGCCCATTGACGTCTGTGCTGATACCTGCTGAAATACTGGTCCCATGTACCCTCAGACTGCGTTGTATGAACTAAAGCAGCTTTATAAGTATATAAACTCAAGCTCATTACTAATAGTTGAACATTTTGGATGAAGCATCCAAACTCCCTGCTAAAAGAGTTGGAGGGCAATTTTTTGCCTGCTTTCTAGTCTTGCATATGTCCGCTTTGTAGCTAAAAGGCATTTTGCAATTTCATTTTCTCTCAGTTTAAATATTTCCTGGCATCAGCATTAGCTTGCACAGAAAAACAGCATCTAAATTCCAATGCATCATAAATGCTTTCAGTATAAAGATGGAAACTGCTACTCTTGCTCAGAGACATTGCAGAGGGTTGATGTGTATTTTCTAAGCCAAATGGTTTTTGTACTTTAAAAGTCATTGAAAATAAGTATTTGGGGCCCAGTTCTGCCTCTCTCACCCTGAATGTCTTCATCTAGTTTGTCTCATTGAAATCAGTGGGACTAACTACATGCAGAGTAAATTATGGCTCAGCACACAGATGGCAGAATTGGACACTAAATAAGTTACTTGGATGCAATCAGGAGTTTAATTTTAGCCATATGTGTCATGTGAGGACACTTAGAAACAATATGTACATTTTATCCAAGCTGACAGTCCCTGCAGTTCCATAGGCTATTGTACATTTTATTCCTGTGTGTATTTGACATCTCTGGATTGCATATCTTCCACTAAATCTTAACTGTCCTCTTTCTTCCTTCCTTCTTTTTTTTTTTTTTTTTTTTTTTTTTTTTAAGTCAATGCTCAAAAGGTCTAAGATGTATCATTGCAAAGTGTGAAAACCGGTGTAGAGATCTGGCTATTTTTTGTTTTAATTTTGAGCTCTCCTTTAATCTGTGTTTTAAAATCACACTCCCATTCTTTTAAAGTTGCTTTCTGATTTCTGACAGCCCGGACCCGTGACATGTTTATACCAGTAACCTCCGTAGTTACACTCGGCATCGGGCTCGTGCCACCTGGTGCAGAGTTACTCCAGGAATAAACCTCCGTGGTATTTTTGCA